AGAGAAAGAGAAAGGGAGGGAAAGAGAGAGATCAGTAGAAATTAAGTGTTGGGCTTCTCCGACAGAATGACAATCAATATTAAGGATGACAAGATGGATATGGTAGACTCATTGAAAAAGAAATAAAGGAAGAAAAATCAGGATTAGGAAGAAAAACTGTGATTTTATTCCTAGACATGACAAGACTGAGACTTTTCTTTTTTGGAGACAGTCTCGCTCTGTATTTCAGGCTGGCCTCAGCCTCTTGAGTGCTGGGATTCCAGGCATGTTCTACTACGACTGAGACATTTTTGACATAATTAAGTTTCTCATCTGTATGAGCCTAGAGGTCAAGAAAAGCATTCTGAGTTGAAGGAAAATATAAATATTGGACTTCTGCATGGAGGTGAGAAATGAAATTACAGATAAAATTGGTAGAGGAGGCCGGGGAGATGGCTCAGTGGAATAAATGCTTCCCTGGCAAGCACAAGAGCCTGAGTTCAATCCCTGGTTCCGCAAAAAAAAAGAAAAAAAAAAAAAAAAAGCGCAAGGGCCTGAGTTCAAAAAAAGCAAAAAAAAAAAAAAAAAAAAAAAGTAGAGGAAGGTGCTGAATGAAACAGACTAAAAATTAAGGCTTAAAAAAATAAGGATTATAAAATAAATAAGGATTATCAACATCTAATGGTTACATATGTGAAAGTAAACCAGAAGTAAAAATAAACAAGGAAAACATGGAAGCAAATAAAGAACAGGTCATACAAGCTGTTACCTGAAAATGTGTGTAAATGTCAATCAAATTTAGACATTTACTATAATCTAGAAATTGCGGTTGCTATTATCCTATATTTAGAAACAGATATTCAGAGCTGTTAATTCAATCTTTCCTATAGGGGACTAATAGAGGACCCAAGATTAAAAGAAAAAAGTTAAAACCCTATCAAATAAAAAGATTGGCTGTAACAAATTATTAAGAGATTAAGATGGCCTCTATTAGGGCTGGCCAGATAGCTCAGCAGACTAAAGTGCCTGCTTAGGCAGAGTATATCGGCCAGGGTTCGATCTGGCAGTGCTGAGGCAGTGATTAAGACTGGGTGTGGTGGCACTAATCCCAGCACTTGGGAGGTTGAAAACAGATTATCTCTGAGTCCATCTGTGTAGTGAGACCCTGTAGATCTCATAGACCTTGACCTAAATACTTAGAAAAAGATGGCTTCTATCCAAATTCTTGACTGCCCCCTTACTTTATAAATATAAAACATGTCATGGCTTCCTATCTTTCTGTAGTTCTACTTACCATTCCAAATGAATAAAATAGCTTTCCCTACTGTAAAACTTTATAATTAAGAGAACATCTTACTTTAACTTAGTGACTTTTTTTCTCTTTAATCTTGGATTTAATATCCTTTGAAAATAATTATCTACTAAGTTCCGCAAAGTATTCAGGACTACATACACAAAATCTCTTTAATAAAAGGTTTTTTGCTGAGCATGGCAGTGCATGCCTGTAATCCCAGCATTCAAGGAGCTGAGGTAGAAGGATCCCTATGGGTTCAAAGGTCAGCCGGGATAGCAAGTTCAAGATCAGCCTAAACTACATGGTAAACCCTGCCTCAAAACAAAAACAAAACAAATAAATTACTTAAAAAAAAATAAATAAATAAACAGCCATGGGGCTGGGGACTTGGCTCAGCAGTAGAATGTCGGCCTAGCAAGCTGGAAGCCCTGGGTTTGGTTCTCAGCACCAAAACCAAAAAATAAACCTCCCCTAAAACAATTCAACCAAAAAGATACAGTAAAATAAAAAAAGACCAAAAACAACAAGGCAACTAAAAATAAACAGCCATCACCTTAAAATCTCAGTATGAAGACCACCGTATTGACATCAAATGATTCAGAGTAAAGACAATGCTAAACAGACATAGACACCATCAACCTGGGAGCATGAAAACTTAATTAGGAATGGCTTCACTTTTGTTTTGCACATCTTTTACCCACTTGCTTCCTGTTTGGAGCTGCCAACCCCTTCTCAAGAGAAAACAGTGACAGAAAAGGCTAAGTGCCCACAACAAAAACAGTAGTATTTTTGGCCGCTTTCAAATACCAAATCCCCAGTAGAGAAGTTCATAAGGAATGTGACCTTGCAAAACTTATGACACTTATGTTTAATACAAACAATTTAAAACTATATACCTATATCAATTCCTCTTCGAAGTGGAGTTTTGTCAGCATCCTGGTGACCAATGAGATCTTCTACCCAATGAATATAGTTGAGTCTCAAAGGAACTGTGGGAATTAGTCTCTCCAATGGAATATCAATAGAAAGTCCAAAGTCTTCCCTTAAGAGAGTACAAGTCAAAGCTCTGACTGCTTCAGGGTCTTTAAAATTGAGACTAAAGGGTAGAGAGAGAAAAAAAAAAAGGAAGTTAAAATATACAAGTACTACTGCAGCCAGGCAATACCAAATGCCCATTAAAATATCCTAAAAAATCACACACAAATATTTATTATGTATTTAAGAAAAATTTTTTTTAATTATTTATTTATTTTTATTTATTACATTTATTTATTTATTGTGTGTGTGTGCGCGTGTGTGGCCAGCTCAGCCCACCAGGGGGCAGGGCTGGCTGGCATGTGGTGCTGGGGGATCGAACCGCGGTCCCTGTGCTCTGCCAAGCTTGTTCCAAGTAGATGCTTTAGACCACTGAGCCATCTCACCAGCCCCTGTATTTAAGAAAATATTAACAACAATCTTTTTTTTTTGGCGGAACCAGGGATTGAACTGAGGCCCTTGCGCTTGCCAGGCAAGCACTTATTCTACTGAGCTGTCTCCCCAGCCCCTAGAATCTTTTAAAAAATATTTAAGTACCTGTTAATTTTTTAGAATACAGGGTTTTAATATGGAACTTCTACACATGCATAAACTCTGAAAATATCTACCATCCTTATTAACCTCCCTCACTCCTTTCTTCTTGCCTAATAATAACCTCTTGGCTCCCAGGGGCCAGGCATGGTGGTGCATGCTTCTAAGCCCCACACTCAAGAGGCCAAGGCAGCAGGATAATTCTGAATTCCAAGCCAGTTTGGGCTACAAAGTGTGTTTAAGAATAACCTAAGTAACATCAAAAAGCCTTTTTTTTTTTTTTTTTGTACTACGGATCAAACTCTGGATCTTATGCTTGCCAGGCAGGCACTTATTCTGCTAACATAACTCCCTGGCAAAGCCCATCTTGACACACAAACAAAAAATAAATCCTCCATTCCACTCATGTCATTTTTTTTTTTTTAGGTTCCACATACTAGAAGGAAATGTGATTACCTGTCTGGTCTGGCTTATTTTGTTTAACATGATGTCAATCTAGTTCACCCATTTTTGTACAAATGACATAATTTGATACTTCTTTATGGCTAAATAATATTTCATTGTATATACACTATCCATCCATCTGGTAACAGGCACCTAGGCTGGTTCCGCTATCTCTAAGCTATTGTGAATTATGCTACATTACAATGGGTATGCAGGGGCCGGG